AAAAGGGCTATTTGTGATTAGTATGTGTAAACTATAAAGTTTTGTTGGACATTTGACGACTTATTTTCAGATAAATTCATGGAGATCAGAGTTTAGTTGGCAAGAGATTGCAAAAAGTGTACGAGTTTATCAAAGTGAACACGTGAATAGAGAGCCAGGTGACTAGGGGACATGTTGTAGTTACTGAAAAGTGGCAAATAGCCATGTTGTATACAAAGCCAAGTGGAGAGTGCCTGTTACAAGTATTACCAAGTTGTTTGTATAGCCATGGGGCAAGTGTTGGTACCAACTGTTACTAAATGGCAAGCAGCTAAATTGTTTGTGTAGGCTAAAGGCATCACATCAAGTTAATATACAGACATTAGAGATTTTTAGCTCTTCTGAGCCAAAGGCTCAAAGAGCTAATGCTATGGCCATTTGTGCGGTGTGCGTAAACTTTTTAGAATATGGGCCATAACTCAAGAACCCCTTGGCCAATTATTGTCAAATTTGTCACAGGGCATCCTTGGCCCAAGGGCTCCCGTTTATACTAAAACTAGGGTTGTGACCCTTAAAGAATGGGAGATAATTAGGAAAATAGAAAGAAAAGTACTGGTTGCTAAAAAATCTTCTTCTCAAGAACCACTGGCAGATTATCACCAAACTTACACAAAAAGATGAGGATATGTTATAGATTAAAAATTGTTCAAGGCATCACCCTGGGGTAAAGGGCGTGGTCTCAATGTCACTTCAAAGTTGACCAAAAATTACATTTTATTAAAATGTTGATATTTTGCTTACTATAAGGAATAGGATCATCAAATCTAGTCAGTTGATGCATCTAAGGACCTCATATCTTGTTGACTCAAAATTAGGTCACGGTGACCTACTTCTTTAAATTTTGCGGCCATTCTTTTTCAAAATGATTTAGAGGCAAATTTTGAACAATTTAAGGCCCATGATCACCAAACTTTGTCAGTTGATGCATCATGGGTCATTGGAGTATGTCGAATAAAAAGTAGGTCACCTTGACCTACTTTTTGAATTTTATGGTTATCTTTTTCAAAACAATTCAGGCCATTAATTTGAATACTGAGAGGTTTAGAATCATTAAATCTTGTAAGATGATGCATCTTGGGGCCTCAAAACATATTTATAAAAAAAATAGGTCACAGTGACCTACTTTTCGAACTTTGCAGGCATTCAATTTCAAAGCGTTTCAGAGGCATAATTTGGACATTTTAAGGCCTATGATCATAAAACTTTGTACGTTAATTCATCTTCGGTCCTCGAAAAAAGTCAACTGAAAAGTAGGTCACCGTGACCTACTTTTGAAATTTTATGGCTATATTTAAATATTTAGTGTACTATATGCCTTAGCATCATCAAAATTTGTCAGTTGATGTATCTTGGGTCCTCGGGGTAGGTCGACTGAAAAGTAGGTCACCGTGACCTACTTTTCAATTTATATGACTATAATTAAATATTTCGGGTACTAATTGGCCTAGAATCATCAAACTTTGTCAGTTGATGCATCTTGGGTCTTCGGAGTAGGTCAACTGAAAAGTAGGTCACCGTGACTTTCTTTTGAAAATTTATGCCTTTATTTAAATGTTTCAGGTACTAATTGGCTTAAATCATCAAACTTTGTCAGTTATTGCATCCTGGGTCCTTGGAGTACGACAACTGAAAATTAGGTCACCGTGACCTATTTTTGAAAATTTATGGCTTTAATTAAATATTTCAAGTACTGTTTGGCTTAGAATCATCAAACTTTGTCAGTTGATGCATCTTGGGTCCTTGGAGTATGTCTACTGAAAAGAAGGTTACCGTGACCTACTTTTCAATTTATATGGCTATAATGAAATATTTCGGGTACTAGTGAGCTTAGAATCATCAAACTTTGTCTGTTGATGCATCTTGGGTCCTCAGAGTAAGTGGATGAAAATGTAGGTCACTGTGACCCACTTTTGAAATTATTGCTTTATTTAAATATTTGTAGGTACTAATTGGCTTAGCAATACCAAAGTTTGTCAGTTGATGCATCTTGGGTCTGCAGACTTAGTCGATTGAAAAGGAGGTCACTGTGACCTATTTTTGTAAAATTTTATGACTTTATTTAAATATATCAGGTACTAATTGGCTTAGAATCATCAAACTTTGTCAGTTGATGCATCTTTGGTCCTCAAAGTATGTCATCTGAAAAGTAGGTCACTGTGACCTACTTTTGAAATTTTATGGTTATAATTTTTAAAAATATTTAGGTATTAATTGGCTTAGAATCATCAAACTTAGTTGATGCATTTTGGGTCCTCAGAGAATAACAAGTGATAAGTAGGTCACCGTGACCTATTCTCAGGTACTAATTGGCTTAGAATCATCTTGGGTTCTCAGAGTGTTTCATCTAAAATGTAGGTCATGATGACCTACCTTTGGAATTTGAAGGCTTTATCTAAATATACAGGATACTTAGAAGCTTCAAATAGAAGTGATAGGTTGTACAGTTTATCAGAAGAGCGATTCAAGGCCCTTGGGCCTCTTGTTCTTTGTGTAATTAATTGTAGCACTAGGCAAGCAACAAAAAAGCAACAAAAAATATCTGTATATATTGAATACCCTACAAACTAGGCAAGCGTTTATTGTACATGTATTTGTATATTTTGCATTCACCATCAGCCCTGTAAGACTTGGGAAAACCAAGAACGATCCCAAGAAGATCACTTGGGTCTCGCACGTTACAATAAGCAAGGTTATTTTTACCAGAATTTAAAACAAAAATCTTGGTCAACATACTTCATCTTTCAGTTACTTTTGTTTTACACTTCTTTGGATCCTTTACAGTGTTGTATTATATTCAGGGGACTGTTAAGGCCCTTGGGCCTATTGTTCAGCTTAGTTGTCCAATATTTTTCCTTATAGCACCCCCTTCAAAATTGATCCTATTGATTATTTCTAAAATAAATAAAATAAAATGTGATACAAATAAAATATTTCTAATTGTGAATTTTACCTATTTCATACCGAATCGCCATTGTACAGAAATATGTTTGTAATTCATTCAGAAAATTCGTCTTCTCCTCTTCTAAAAGCTATGTAATGGTTTTATAGACCAAATAAGAATAACCATGTCTATTTTACAGAATAATTTTCTTTATCGTAACTTGCAGAGTTTGATATCAGTGACAATGTTTTACAGCGATCATTTTTCTTGACTAAACAACTTAAGGTGTCATGTCCCTCTGATAAGAGAGATAACTTTCGATCATTTTTTTTGACTAAACAACTTGAGGTGTTATGTCCCTCTGAAAAGAGATAACTTTCGAAGGAAATTATTCCAAGCTGCATGTCCAATGAATTGTCTTACCAAATTTTACTAATGAGGACCATTATGTAGTCAATTTAATCAAATTTAAACTATGTTACAAATATTGATTTCTATTTTCTATGCCAATATTTTTATTAATCACTTATAATTGTTTACCTTAAACATTTATACTCAGCTCCTTTAAACTGGTAAAATTGAGATATTTCTTTCTCTTAACATCTAATTCTCTTAATTGTTACAGGAATTCTTGATGCAGAATTTTTAGAATCAATAAATAATTTTTTTCCTTTTAAAAATATTTTGAAGAAAGATAACTCCTGTAGATGGAATGATAACTTTTGTAGATGGATGGATTTTTATTTTACAAGCACAAAAAATTGTGATATTCTGATTTAAAAAGCAACACTTTATTATGTTTTCTTATATGAATTAAATAGGTATGACGGTAAATTTTATTTTCATATGCTTGTATACCTCATGTTCTTAATTTTTTGCTAAGATAAATAAAGCGATCTTTCTATTCACCATATTAAATTTTCTACATATCATGATTAGACATAATATTAATTTCTGAAAAAGTAAGCAACACTTCATACTTCAAACTATTTTCCATTGGAATCTAATGCTATTGTTGTTGATGAAAATCAATGTTGGGATTTTAAAACAAAATTTAGAGCAGAGGGAGATTTCACCTTAATTAAACATACATGTATTATATATATGCGTAGAAAATATTCAATTTGTGAGAAACATAAGTATGCATATATAATGTGCATGTACATGTACAGGTACTTGTAAAGATAAATCATCTTTCCCAAGACATTGCGGGAATCTTCATTTATTTCTTTTTATTTGTTCTGGAAGTGTTCAGAACATAGAAAAAAGATTTTAATCTTGTCTGGTGATACGGGCACTGTAAAATTTATTTATCTTTAACATTTAGGTATCTTTTTTGTACCTGACAAAAGAATACAATAGAATGAGTACAATGCAATAAAATCATCGGATACGTTCCGAATGAATCATTCACTTTGCGATCCCCATTTACTTTGCTCTTGCGTTCTGCGTTCGCTCTCCTTTTACATAGATGAGTTTCAGTATTCACACATTGTTCACTCAGCGTTCGCTCTGTGTTCGTTCAGCGTTAACTCACCGTTCTCTCAACGTTCGCTCACCGTTCAAGTGGGAAAGTAGAGCGATTCAGGGACTGTACTTTTTTTTAAAATGTGAGATCCTTACAAAATGTTTCTCCTCATACAGATCTCGTTTAACTTTTTTGCTTGTTAAATTTTTAAGGCCAGAGGAATGACATTTTGTGAGTGAAGAAAGGTCAAAAAATTGATTATGCGAAGTACTTTGAAAAAAATTCTTTTTCACAATTTTTAATGTTTCTATTCAAGATAAAATTAGACTGTATTTGGTCCCATGATTTATTTCGACTAAAAAAATATCAGAGGAAAAACTTAGAAAAAGTGAAAAGTAAGACGCAACTACAGTGCAAAAGGATTATAATAAATGCATCGTAGCGCCAAAAAGAAGCAAATATGCCCCCGTTTTTGGTTTGATTTTTAATTTAGCTATGTGTGAAGATACTAAAAATGTACTTGACAACAAATTCTTAAGACTTTTTATAGCAGGACCCAATCTCCTTAAATCTGTGCAAAATACTCACTAAATCAGTACTTTTATTTCTCAGATGGGTGTGGCAGTCATAGACAGCTCAACAGCAGGTTTAGGTGGTTGTCCCTATGCTAAGGGAGCCAGCGGAAATGTGGCCACAGAAGATGTTTTGTATATGCTAGATGGACTTGGAATAAAAACCGTAAGAAATCTTGTCTTCCTTTCAACAATAGAGAAATGTGCGTGATGCATACCTTAAAAATTCTATACGAAAGATCAGAATACTTTCACACATTATCTATATTTATCACATGTCATTAACGGGCCCCACTTCCTTAGGCCAAGTAAATGTCACTGCATTCCTAAAATCTAATTCACAACTGTTAATAAGCTCTCATCAATATATCTTTGATAACCAGTGCAAAGAAGTTTGGGGAGGTATATTAAAATCACTTTTTCACATATTCATAGTCACGATTTGCGTCCATTTGATTCTTTAGGCGAGGGGCGGCCCTAACAAAAAAGTACTGTAGTTTACTATAGCTAACTATAGTTTACTATAGTTAACTATAGTAAATCAAAGTTTTCAAAAGTTTTCACTATAGTAAATCAAATTATTTTTACTATGAATTTCAGATCGTAATATTTTATTTTTCTTCATTTCTACAAGCAATTTTATTTTATTAAAAAGGAATATTACTTATATATTTACATATTATTAAAAAAAAATACATCATTGTTATGTAATTTAAAAAATATTAAGAATCTAAATCTTCAAAAAAGTGCGGAAAACCAAGTGGGACAGACGGACGGACAGACAAAGAAATCTATAGTCCCCTCCGGTTAAACCGAGAGTAAAACAGAAGAAAATATATGCAAAGACTCAAAAACTATACGTATTTGGTGTTAAGGGATTAATTGATTTGCAAGGAAAGTATTTATTTCCAAAATCTGTGACGACCTCCCCTATCTACCCTACCCCCCCCCCCCAATCAAATAATTGTCCCCTTATCTCTAAAATTATTCAATATGCTTACTTTCCAGACTTTGTAAATAAGATATATACCATTAATGGACATGTGCATTTGGTATTTTCAAATCATTTTTCAAAATTTAAAAAATAAAGTCACTTTTTAGGTCACCTGAGTCACTCAGGTGACCTTTTGCTATCCGTTTTTGTCCGTCGTCGTGCGTCGTCCGTCGAGCATTAACATTTGAACATTTTCAGCTTTTCTCCGAAACCGCTGAACCAATTTCAACCAATTTTGGCATATAGCATTTATGGGTAAAGGGAAACAAAAGTAGTGAACTTCATGGTCTCTGTCCCCATGGGTCCTGAGGGATGGGGCTAAAAACCACCAATATTAATGCAATCTAAAATCTTCTTTATTCCTGGACATTAAGCAGTCAAACTGTTGGCATGATTGTAATAAGCATTGAGCCCTCTACCAAATATGTGAAATCCATGGCCCATGGTCAGGGTTTGTGGTGCCAGATTTAAGTTTTTGGAGCAGGTTCATTCTAAAGTAATTATGAGCCCTATGCTGACCAAACTTGCACGGATGATACATCTAAGGTTGCACACTACCAGGCTTACTTCGGATGCTGGATCTGACTACATTTTCCGGATGAGTGACCAGGTTAAAGTTTTTGGAACAGGTTCATTCTTAAGTATATGCCCTTCCTTGACCAAACTTGCATGGATGATAATCTAAAAATGCAAACTACTGGACTTGCTTCGGGTGCTGAATTTTCCAGATGAGCAACCATTCAAAAGTTTTTGGAGCAGTTTCTTTCTGAAGGGACTATTAGCTATGCTAACAAACCTTGCACTGAAGATATATTTATTCTTGCACTCTACCAGAATTGCTTTGGGTGCAGGATTTCACTTAAATTAACCAGATAAGTGAACATGTTAAAGTTAATGGAGCTGGTCCATGACCAAGAAACTATAAGGCCTACCTTAACCAAACTTGCATGGATGATGCATCAAGGGATTCACACTCTCAAACTTGCTTCAGATGCTGGATTTGACTTAGATTTTCTGGATGAGTGACTAGTTTAAAGTTTTGAGATAAGTCTATTCCCAAGTTACTGCAAGCCCTCTCAGACCAAAATTGCATAAATGTTGCACATTTGGATGAAAACTAGTAGATTATTGATTTAATGTGAGACTTTGCCTTACTTAAAGACAAATTTTGTTGAAGTGAGCTTTGTTTTCTCTTATTACCTATGTTTTTAATATAATATACATAAATATTTGATTTCAAACTATTGTGACCTTTATTGAAAACAAAACTGTGAATTTAAACCTGTTGTAGAAGTTTAATGTACCAATCTCTGGCGAATAGGTGGAAATGAAGATGTCCTGCTATATTATTGATACATGTAGTTGTTTTAATTTATGATTTTTAACTCACCTGAGCTTAAAGCTTGTGAGCTATTCTGATCACATCTTGTCTCTTGCCCAGCATCCCTCTGTCCGCCCTTCTATGACTTTTCACATTTCATACTTCTTCAGAACCACTGCACCCATTTCAACCAAAGATCTGTGAACGAAAGTGTTGTTCTGCCGCCTACCTCCAGGTCAAATTTCAAAAGTTAATTTATTTGGATGATTTTTAATTTTTATAAACACGTAGATATTAATATGAATTTTCACGAATCATAACTTATTTGGGAAAACAAAGAGAGATAACTCTATAATTTTGGTAAAACGTGTGGTTTATTTTACTATAGTAATCAGTGGAAAACAGAAAGTATTTCTAAAGCATCTCAAGAACAGAAGGGCAATGATTCGTCATAATGACATGCAAGCCATGGTCTTGAGTCTAAACTACAAAAAGATGTGTATATATATGATTAACAGTTTGTAGTTTATGAAAAAATTGGTGTTTTCCTTTACCATTTTCGTGGCAAAAATGTGAACTACCTTCATTGCTTATCTAAGCTCTTTAATTCAATTTTTAGCTCACCTAAGCTGAAGGCTAAAGTGAGCTTTTCTGATCAAAGAGTGTCCGGCGTCCCTCTGTCGTCTGTAAACTTTTCACATTTTCGACTTCTCAAGAACCACTGGGCCAATTTCATCCAAACTTGCCACAAAGCATCCTTGGGAAAAGGGAATTCAAGTTTGTTCACAGGAAGTGCTGCGCCCTCTTTCAAGAGGAGATAATTAAGAATTCGTTAAAATATGGTGACATCTTTTAAAAATCTTCTTCTCAAGAACCACTGGGCAAGAAAAGATGAAACTTATGTGAAAGCTTCATAACATACTCTAGATTCAAATTTGTTCATATCATTACCCCCGGGGAAGGGTGGGGCCACAAGAGGGGGTCAAAATTTTACATAGGCATATTGTTACAGAAGTATTCTCAATTAGTGTAGATTTAAGTTTGTTCCAACCATGATCCCTGGGGGTGGGACAGGGCCACAACAGGGGGGGGGGGTCAAAGTTTACCATAGGAATATATAAGAAATATCTTTAAAAATCTTCTTTTCAAGAACAGCTCAGCCATTATTAGACATATTAATATAGAAGTATCCCCAGGTAATGTAGATTAAAGTTTGTTGCAATCATGACCCCTGGGGGTTGGGCAGGGCCACTACAGGGGGTCAAAGTTTACCATAGGAATATATAGGAAATATCTTTAAAAATCTCTTCTCAGCTTAGCCATTATTAGACATATTAATACAGAAGTATCCACAGGTAGTGTAGATTAAAGTTTCAATCATGACCCCTGGGGGTAGGACAGGGCCACAACAGGCGGGGGGAGGGGGGGGTCAAAGTTTACCATAGGAATATATAGGAAATATCTCTAAAAATATTCTGCTCAAGAACAGCTAAGCCATTATTGGACATATTAATACAGAAGTATCCTTAGTAGGTAGTGTAGATTCAGGTTTGTTAAAAATCATGACCTGGGGGTAGGGCGGGGCCACAACAGTGGGTCAAGGTTTACAAATGAATATATAGGTGTAATGATTAAGGGGCAATAGGAGTAAAACGCATTGAAGACTTCAAATAGTGGAATGAACTGACAACCCTTGGAATGGACTAGCCTAAGGGTATATAAGGCAAAGCTTTGGGAAAGTCAGGCATTCAGAATGTAGCTGAAGAAGTTGGATGATGATTCAACAATAAAGAAGTTAAGGTATTCCATCCTAATAGCAAAAGATTCAATGATTGATTGATTGATTGATTGTATGTTGTTTTACGTCTCATTCGAGAATTTTTCACTTATATACAGACGTCACCATATACCGGTGAAGGGTTTCAAATTTTTACCTTTACTCGGCACTCAGGGCCATTGAGCAGTGAGGGATCTTTATCGTGCCAACGCCTGTCGTAACACGGGACCTCTGTTTTTAAGGTCTCATCCGAAGGACCTGCAACTTTCACTTCAAAGTGCCAAGCGCATGGCGAAGGAACAGTTGCTATCCATTTTTTATCGACTTAGGTCAGTCGCGGCCGAGATTCGAACTCACGACCTCCCGATCACGGAGAGAGCACTCTACCGACTGAACAAAGATTCAATGAAATTGAATACATAATAGATGTGTTGAATACTCAGTATATTTAGACATAATTCCCATTTATTAGTCCCCTACCGGTGAAACCGGAGGGGACTATAGGTTTCCTCTGAGCTGTCCGTCTGTCTGTCTGTCCGTCTGTCTGTCCCTCTGTCTGTCTGTCAGTCTGTCCCACTTGGTTTTCCACACTTTTTTCCTAAACGCTTGCAGATCCTTGTCCGGAGCATATTTTCTCTCCTCTTGGTCCAATTTGGCTCATACTTCACTCACAGAGTGCCACTGGTTAATGGATGTGCTTTGACCTTGAATGAAGTTTCTAGGTCAAGAGTCAAGGTCAAAAATAGCCTCTCTGTTTAAGATCTTTGTTCGGTGCATAATTTCTTTCCCTTAAGTCCAGTCAGCCTCAAACTTTACCAAATGACTTTGGGTACGGAACATTTGTGATTCCAAATTTTGATAGAGGATATGCAACAATTTTCATAGAGGATATGCAACATTCGTGATTTTTGTGCCGTTTTTTGATAGAGGGTATAGAGCACTCGTGATTTTCGTGCCATTTTTTATTATAACAAGGATGACATAGAAGCCCTTTCGACTCAAACAACACATCCCTTAATAGTACATAAATGTTCCTGTTCAAAATAAACTCTTTTCAGCTACCTTACATTTTCA